TCCGTTGGCAAGCTGGGCTTTGTAGCCGGCGACTGGTCTTATTAGCCGGCGGATTTTACTATATAAAATTCCGTCCCAAGCTGATTTTGGCTTAATTGGCGTCTGGGCCTATTAACCGTGGGCTTAATAACCGGCGACTACTGTATAACGAAGAGTTCACACCTTGTGCTACCTTATCACATTTTCCCCGAACAATACGAATATGAAACATGGTGAATCAGAAAAACTAAATTTATCATGTTTTGGCATCAAAATTATATTAAATTTTGCCTTTTTCTTTCCCAAATTGAAGGCACTCTATCCAAAATGGGAGAAGAATCGTAATTCTACGTATAAAGCTGATTTTCTTTCAGGATCAAGGTGGCCGTTCGCGTAAGGCCGTTCAATCAGAGAGAGAATGATCGAAAATCGGCGCTTGTAATTTCAATGAACAATAAAGTTACGGAAATAATAAATCCCGAAAGTAAGTATGTTCTTAACCGTCGTGACTGTTTAATTTTAGTAGGTTGGCCCATTACCTACTCACTTTTACAAGGTGCGAAATTTGCCTAATACACTGTGACTTCGAAAGTGTTGGTGGAACCGATGAAAATAATTTGCATTATCTGAGTAACAGTCTGGGACAAATTGACTGAAAGCTCATTTAGCGGTCGCATTTTATTTTCCTTAGAGATCAATTTTTAACTTAGAGAACACCAATTATTTCAGAGGTTTCCAGGCGCAGACAGAAATTTGATATTAATATTTATACTTAGTAGTCAGTGAAAGCTAGGGATTGCGGCAGGACTTTTGCGTTTTAAATCATCGTAACGGAAGTTATTGTCAGATTTCTAAGGCTTAATTCTGTTTATTTCATTGGCTAAAATTTCTAAATAAAAATGTCGCTTATTTTGTTTTTGTGCCGTCCTTGTTTTAGAAAAGAATGACGTGAAACGCTTCACTTTTGACTATTCATATTGGTAAGTTTTGTGCAGAGCTAGTTTTAGGCGGCGGATGTGACACCTTCTCAGGTCCCATGACGGATTCGTGGTCAGTGATGACGGCACTTATGTACCCGACAGTCCTCATTCACCCTATGCCAGCCAACAGACCGTTTTTGATGACCTGGGTAGGGGAATCCTGCAGAATGCCTTTGACGGCTACAACTGTTCCCTCTTTGCCTATGGACAGACTGGCTCCGGTAAATCATATTCTGTGGTGGGCTACGGCGTGAACAGGTAATTTTTCGCTCCCAAAAACATCACACCGTTAACCCAGGGGAATCATTCCGATTGCCTGCGTAGAGCTCTTTCAAAGAATAAACGATAATAAGGACCCCTCGAAGGCAAGTCTTCTTCATTTGAGTTCCATACCTGTCCTGTCCATGTAGGCTTTCCAAGTCACCGTCTCAATGATGGAGATTTACAGTGAAAAGGTGCGTGATTTACTGAGTGCGAAACTCAAGGAGCAGGCAGGCTTGCCTGTACGGCAGTCGGCATCAGGTGGCTTCTTCGTTCAAGACCTTAAAAAGGTGCCCGTTGGCTCGTATGCTGACATCGAACAGAGGATGGAACAAGGTTGGTTTGTTTGTTTGTTTGGGCCTTATAGCGGTTAACTCAATCTCCAGAGAACGATCATTGAAGAAAGGCAGTCCTAGAATAACATTTTCCACAACCCTGTATTCGGTTATCGAAATTCCTGCGCAGTTTCGTTCATTAGGGCACCTCCCCTGCTTCCGGAGTATTACGGATGCTTAACAAAACTGAGGTTTACTACGATGGAATTGAGTAATCAGATTTATCAGGACGACCTTTCAATTATTTAAACTTTCAGCGAACCGTGATTTTAAATCCCTTTGCAAATCTGTGCTTTCAGTAGCCTACCATCCCCCTAATACGCGGTACTCGATAGCCTTAGCATTACCCTTTGCTAGGCTGACGTTAAAAGCGTTCTTGTTCCATACATTAGCACCGAAACGTGTAGAATAAAATTTACGTAATAGGCTGTACCACTAATTGTTATTAGTATTGCTGAAAATCGAACAAGTAACGGTCGATAAATGTAACTCGTCTGCCTATGCAAGCAAGGCGTCTAGTTTCAAAAAGCATTTTGGAGGCGATCCAGGAAATTTATTGGCCTATGACTGTCTCTGATGATAAGTTTGAGTGGTATTCAAGACGTCAAGTCAATAAAATGTCATGGCGCCGCCCAAACCATTATACTTCTTCAGTAAAAAGTCCAGTTTCGTCGATGGACATACACCTCAACTTTTGCCATTACTTTTCATCACTTGATTTTCAAACATTTACCTGTTTACTTCCGACATTGGTAGTTGGCAGAATTTCAGCTCACTTGTTTTTTTCCTTACTACAGGCATTGCAAATCGGACTATCGCTGCGACAAATATGAACGCTTCCAGTTCACGAGCGCACACACTGATGTGTATAACGTTTGATCAAATCATCACGAAATCCATCGGTGGTCAATCGACATCCTCACGCCTGAGCTCTGTCATCAACTTTGTTGATTTAGCAGGTACGTGTGTACATGTTTTCATTTGGAAAGTAGCCTCGGCAATATTTTTCATCTTCCCAAGCAATGCTCCAAACTAGGCTCGTATTCTAAACTATGATCGAAGAAGGATCAGGCTCTGGTGCTTGGTCGGCAAAGGATAAATGGTCAGAAAAATATCACCGACTTATTAGCTACCACCAGTCAGCCATACCTATCACCAGGTGTTACAACCCATGGGAATCAAACCCTCGACCTGTTGGTTGGAATTCGAAGAGCCTGACCATTAAACTAGGGGCTCAATGTCCCATCGGTCGGGGTCGGTTATGTAAAAAATGGTGGTGAGACACTCATCGATCGCATCACTGGTGTACCTTGTGGCTCGGGCTCAAGCTCCCACAGCAACCAAATGACAGCAAAACGAAATTGCCGACAGGGATAAAAGAGACTAAAATGGCCATTTAAGTGGACGCTGCTCTACTCTTGTAACTATACCTTATTGAAACCAATAGGACAAAACACGCGTCGCCTAGTGGTTCAGGTGTTGGATCAACAGGTCCCGGGTATGATCCGCAGACGTAGAAACACCTGCGGCTAGGCGTAGCTGACGGCTGAAGACGAAGATGCCAGAAATGATCATTCTAGTCTCCCCTGTACTTCTCCGTCATGTTCTTCTGTCTATACTACTACCTGTTGTGCGGTTGCTGTTGCGGCTCAGGGGTGATCTTCAAGACACAACGGATGGGTGTCTCGTCGCACGATCAGTGAGAATCCATTGACACTTGCGGATGAAACGTCAGTCCAAATACAATTTGGTCCACGAACCCGCCCCTTCTTCTTCTTCCTCTTCTTTGGGAGACGATACACTCGATATATTTCTATATATAGTGGCACGTAGGCACACACCAATCAGTTACAGAACACACTCGCCCGCCCCTGGTGCATTTGGGGCACTCTCTCGAACCATCCCTCAAGGCGGTTAATAATATAGGCAAAAGAACATTACTGACAAAGACCGAGAAGACTAGGATAGCTAGTTCTGGCTTATCAGCCGTCGTCAGCCAGTCATCTTCAAACTCAAGCGGTGCCTTAGAAATTAGTGTCCCACTAGAGCCTCGAACTCGCGACATCGTTAGTGAGAAGTCCAACGCTCTGAAAACTGCGCAACGGGCTAACTATCTTGCTGATTTTTGATCGGGAATATAAAGTGGCAGAAAGGTGCAGTCCAATCAGTTACAGGACACACTCGTCCCCCCCTGGGGAACCACTTGGGTTTGCGTATGACTGGCTGCCGACGAATAATAAGCCATTCTACTCTCTGTCTTTGTCGTACTGTCCTTCTGCATATATCGTTAGCTGTCCTACAGCATGGCTCGAGAGAGTGCCACAAGGGCAACAGGGGCGGTCAAGTGCCTTCTATAACTGATTGGTGTGCGCCTATTCACTACTGTATATTCCCCATACAAAACACCGGCAAAACAGCGAGCCCGTGCCGCAGCCGCTAGGATGTTCGTGTTAGCAAGGTCGCGGGTTCGAAGCTCGGGTGGGACACTACTTAGGTTTGGGTATAACGGACTGACGACGGCCAAGAAGCCAGAAATGGCCATCCTAGTCTTCCTTGCCTTCGTCGGTAATTTCTAAATATAAATATATTTTAATGCATTATGATTATACTGTCTGCCTTTCGCACCCGACTCCCCTTTTCAGGCTCCGAACGCGCTGACAGTACTGGGGCTACCGGGGATCGCCTTAAGGAAGGTGCGAATATTAACCGTTCCTTGTCGGTGCTGGGGAACGTGATCTCGGTGAGATGTTGTTTTTTTGACTGGATCGTCGTGGCGAATTCTTTTCGCTGAGACGGCCAATTGTTCTAATAATGGTCCCTGGCTGATTGTATTTCCAATTAATGTTGCTCATCAAACAAAGAGGTAGGTATAAGCAGGGGTCCTGGATAGGAGTTCGATGAGAGTTTTGGCGCAAAGACAAGCGGATCTGAAATGATCATTTGCTATTGCACGGTGGTTAGTGCTAAATCCCCGCATCGGAAGACTTAGGTTGAACTCTGGTCTAGAAGATCACGATGTTTAACGCTCCAAAGTCGGAACCAGGAGTATTCGTTCTGTCTCAGTGGGTTAAATCAATAGGAAAAACACTTGCTGTGGCAATTCTGAGGCCTGGTTCGGTGTGGGCAGAGAAGAAGTGGGACGTCTGGTGGAAGGAATATTATATTCTGTACAGAGGCAGTGTAGAATAGGTTGGAGGAAGAGTTGGCACCGGACGAGTGGATTTCAGCAGCTGTGAGAGGGCCGCGTACGAAATATAAGA